CCTAGCCTAGCCCGCTTTCCTATGCCTCTCGAAAAGTCTCCCAACAGCCCAACACCCCCAGCCGAACTCCCCCGAAGTCCTCATCGCACGAAGAACTGTGGCTTCCAGCAATTAGCTGGAAGCCTTCCTCGTGACTCCCGATTTCGGGAGTCCTGTCAGTCTGATTTCAATACTGGGGGGTAATTGCGGGGCAACAGAACCACCCTGCAGTCAACATGCGCATTGCCGAAACCAACCTACGAGGCGACTGCAGGGTGTAAGTTGCGCATCGCATGTCAGTTGGAGCGACTAGTTCGAGTTTGTTACCATCGGAGCCGAAAACGAGACCATCGCACATGCGAGGTATGAGCAGTTGCGTTGTTACCACGCGTAACATTTCGGGTTACCCTGTATTTATTGAAAAGCTATAAATCAAACAGTAATCTAATTACATGGAAATACAGGCTATTAATTAAGATAATTACACTACCGGATAAAACCAGAAATAAGACACGGTAGATATATTCATGTTAAACATTACAGCACTCAGTTCAGCCACGGTATGGAGCGTTTCGTTGGCAATTTAATATATTAAAGCTGACAATACATGGCAACATCATATATGCCTACTGCCACATCGCTACACAAACCAGGGAACGCTAGCCTAGCACGCTGCAGCTAGTTCTATTCTGAAGGACTCCACCACATGTGCTGTAACGCATCTGCTTCCTTGCTGAAACTCCCGCACAATAGATTATTAGCTCTAAACACCAAAGAAAGAGTCAGGCAGAAAACGCGACACCAACCACAGCTACTTACCGTTGACAAAAGGACGGTAAAGCACTTGTAGTAATTATGCCATGCTCCTTAAACCTGCAAAAAAAAAATCGGAATACCATTGCTCATAAGCGTAGGGGCAAGAACTCCCAACACTGACGAAACTCACCTGAAATGCTGAACCACGCATATTCGCTTCAGAGGTCTTCACCGTCTTCGCCCAAGCTTCATTGATTTTGCCCAGGCAAAACCACACTTCGCGACTCGACAGCACCTCGCAGATAGCACCACTCAGCTTCATGATAAAATACTTCACGATCTGCAAGTGCGAGTAGCTAACAGTATAAGACGTGGCAAGGACATTGTCGAGAGTAAGTGAACAGGAGAATGAAAGGTGGGGCCTAGGCTTAGTAGCCTAGGCCCTAACTAGGTATCGAGCGGGTTTTCCTTAGGAGCGATGTCGAGTGAGTTGTGAGAGAGAAATTGGAGAATGTGTTTTCACTATAGCATTCGAAGTACATATAGCAAAGGAACACATGAAGAGGTGCACCACCTACAAATTTAATAACTACACTACAGCTAGAACTATATGCAGTTATAATAAATATAATTCTGACATCCCCCCGTAACTGCATGCAGGAATAGCTAAGTGTCAAGCACAACCTGCAGAGGTACACCAACGAGCAATAAAACAAGCAACAGCAGGTACTGCAGGCGGGCTAACTTTGAAAGGTTACCCCCTCCATCTCCTCACCCTCCTCCTTCCCCTCCCCCACACTGCTGCAGAAGCAGCAGAGAAGGGGGTAAGAGAGGAGAGGTGGAGGGACGGCTGCTTGTTGCCTCACACCCGCCACCCGGGTACCACTCCCCCTGCTCACCCACATCCTCACACCCTCCCCCCCCAGCGGCAGCTGCAGCGGTGGGACTGAAAGAAGGAGGAGGGGAAGGGAGAGAGTTGACCCCACGCTCCAACACCCTCCACCCCCATACCCTCCTCCCCACGGCTGCAGGGAGACAAGAGAAAGGGGGGGGTGGGAAGGAAGAAAGCCGCAGAGCGGCGAAGAGGCGTCGGTGCAGATGGGTCAGGGGCGGCAGCAGGGAGTGCAGGGGCGGAGAGGCCCGTCGCGGGCCAGTGCCACGGGGCGCACGACGGGTAGGATAAAAGGGCCCGATCGTGTGCCTCGGGGCGCACGACGAGCAGGGCACCATCGTGTGCCTTGGGGCACACGATGGGCAGATAAAGGGCACCGTCGCGTGCCACGGGGCGCGCGACGGGCAGGGTAGGAGTCACACGCCCGTGGGCGGGACAAGGTAAAGAATAAAATCGTCACGCGCCCTAGGCGCGCGACCGTAAAATTTTAGCAGCGGAAGTAAAGCGGGCCCACAGGCCAGGACGAAATCAGCTCTGATACCATGTCGAGAGTAAGTGAACAGGAGAATGAAAGGTGGGGCCTAGGCTTAGTAGCCTAGGCCCTAACTAGGTATCGAGCGGGTTTTCCTTAGGAGCGATGTCGAGTGAGTTGTGAGAGAGAAATTGGAGAATGTGTTTTCACTATAGCATTCGAAGTACATATAGCAAAGGAACACATGAAGAGGTGCACCACCTACAAATTTAATAACTACACTACAGCTAGAACTACATGCAGTTATAATAAATATAATTCTGACAGACATAAACAGGGTCAGTGAGAGAACCAAGTAATGGGGAAGCATATCTATTATTGAAGGACATGTTAAAGCTTGACATAGCAAAACGGAAAAAAGATATCGACGAAGAGCACATGTAGGGACAAACACAGAAATCCCTCACCGACATTCACGGCGGCGTCATGCTCAACACCAGGTTGCAGTTGTTTGTCATGAAGGGGGGTGTGGGAACCATCGTGCACCAAGTCCTCGTTGAAAAAAAGGCAACACAAAAATGAAACACTAGTTCAAAATGAGACTGATATTGCTGGCTCTGTTCGTAACCAGCTCAGTTCAGACAAGATGTGAGGTGAGGACCTTGACAGTTGGGAAACTGGTTCCTCGTAAAAAACGCTGCCCAGATAAAACATGTCAGCAACTGCGGACTAATCACGAATAGCCAGGTACTAGTAGATGTTGCTTTTGTTGACCTTGGGCAGAAAAAATCACGCGACAAGGCAGCATTTGCAGGTGAGAAGGGAATGTTCGGAAGAATCTGGCTGCGAATCAGATACCTCGAGCGAAGCCATGCTGGGTGCTGAAGTACAGAGGCAGGCTGTACAAGGAGCAGATTTCCGGCAAAATGCACACCCCCAATCTATCGGCGCGATCTGGGATGAAGCGAGTATGTGCCCCCCGATGCACACATCAGCACTGTAATCGACGGTCAGCGTGGAGGGATGAGGTGGTGGTTGGAAATGGATGTACGTAGTCAGTTCGATGTTCCACCTTCTGTGTGTCTGTCAATATTTCACGCGTCTCGACATCGAGGTTGGTCCACTCGATGATGAGTGGTGATTGGTCTAAATTCTGCCATCTTGTAAATCTTCGCTGACACAGCAAAGCATTCAGGAAGGAGGTCGCCTTGTTGGGAGATCGTGATATAAACCGGTTAAGAGAGATATCTGGAGTAAAATATAAAAAGAAAATGATATAAATATAAAATACGATATACCTGTCTGTGATATAAATCAATACATATCGAACTTGCTAAATACAAAACAACCCCCACTAACCCAGTCATATGCGCTGCTCACAAAGTGATATCCAGCTCCAGCACTCAGTCATAATCAAGCTCTCTCTCACATGAGAACACCTGAGGTTTTGTTACGAGTGCAATTTGAGTGATTGGGCAAGAATTGCACTACCGAAACAGAGTACAATGAGTGAACGGATGAGCGAAGAATATATAGCGAAACTACAGTGGTAATGGTAATGGACTGTGGTTCCTTATGTGGAGGGCCCTCAGAAGCGTTCCCACGAGAGAACCTGCTGTATACCATGTGAAGAATGAGGAATGAATGAACTAGCAAGCAGGTGGGTACAAGTAGGAAAACCTAAAAGTGTTGTACCCCATATAGTCTACCCCACTACAGCCTACACATAGTATAGCATATAAGTTTGCCATACACGACTGTGTGGGACATATTTCATTGTCGTGTAAAAATCACCAAAGAACATCGTAAAAATATTAGAGATTCATTGGGTTTACAATGTTGAAGCAATGAGTTACCAGTATGTGAAGTCATTTTTAAGTAAGTGTTTTACAGAATTGTATTGGCTACTTGCATATTTTAGCTTTACATTACTAGTCTAATCACACAATGTAGCAGTACAGTATGATACGAACCACTCCTGGACAAACGTGAAGTGTTTTTGCCAGATATCCAGAATTTTTGGAAACCCTTGGAACCACGCTGGATCTAGATTTTTTCAGCACATTGAATGCCTGTGTTACGGGCTGTTTGCCCGAAACCATTATCGTGACAACTCCAACCAGAATTTTGGTAACTGCGCGCGATCAGAATCAACTCGGAGTCGGCGGGCAATTAGAAAACATTCCCGCCAGCAAATTGCGGGAACCTGATGTCGCCGAACTGTCTGCCAGCAAATTCCCGTCCAACACCCCTAGAGTTGCGATGCTTGTCGCAGCCCAACACCCACCCCCCCTGCCCTTAGCATGCCGCGAGCTGCCCAACAACCTTCCACATTTAGGTTGTGTCGCCCTGAATCGATATACAGTAATACACTATGCAATTTGAAAAAAAAACAGACAGCACTATCCATCACTATAATCAAGTGGCGGAAAACCTCTCATGAAGTGTGTTTGTTGTGTTTTTGCAGATGATTTGAAGATGTAGGGGTCGGTATTTTTTTAGAAGAAAGTATCGAAATTTTTCCAGATGGTATGTCAGATGCTTTGCAGATGATCGGAGTGTTTTTAAATAGTTTGGAAATGGTTGTGAGGAACTTCTCATTTTGTTTGGGATAACTTGTTTAAATCATGTTATGTGCTTCAATTTTAGACTTGTATAAGGTTTGCTATTTACTTTTATATGCATATAATAATCTTGGAAAGGGTTTATGGGGTATTATAAATAAACATAATCGGAGTTTGAAAAACCCAGTTGGTAGTTTCTTCAGCACTTTCCATAAATACACCGTAAGAGGGAAGGCATGTACGTGTAAATCATAATATTAGCTTGAAAAGATTTACGACACATTAGATGCCTACTTATTCTCTGGTTCTTAGCTACTCTACTAATCATCCTCGGTTAATGCACCTGCACTACTACTACCCACTATCAACCCTAGGTCCGTACTCTGCTTCATCCTCCCTGCTGTGCTACTCCCTGTTACATCCTCCCTGCTGTGCTACTCCCCGCTGCATCCTCCCTGCTGTGCTACTCCCCACTACATCCTCCCTGCTGTGCTACTCCCCGCTACATCCTCCCTGCTGTGCTACTCCCCACTACATTCTCCCTGCTGTGCTACTCCCCGCTGCATCCTCCCTGCTGTGCTACTCCCCGCTGCATCCTCCCTGCTGTGCTATTATTTCTTAACCCCGCCCCCTTGATGTCAATCCTTGCTTCCCCCTCATGTTGTTACTAGTGTGCCCCCCTCCCTGCTGTTACTCCTGCGCACCTCTCCTTGCTGATACTCCTCTCCTCCCTTCCTGGTCGTGGTTCCTCTCCTCCCTTCCCTGCTGTGGTTCCCCTGCTCCCCTCCCTACTGTGACTCCTCTCCTCCCTTCCCTGCTGTGGTTCCCCTGCTCCCCTCCCTGCTGTGGTTCCTCTCCTCCCTTCCCTGCTGTGGTTACCCTGCTCCCCTCCCTGCTGTGGTTCCTCTCCTCCCTTCCCTGCTGCGGCTCCTCTGCTCCCCTCCTTGCTGTGGTTCCTCTCCTCCCTTTCCAGCTGTGGTTCCCATGCTCCCCTCCCTGCTATGGTTCCTCTCCTCCCTTCCCTGCTGTGGTTCCCCTGCTCCTCTCCCTGCTGTGGTTCCTCTCCTCCCTTCCCTGCTGTGGTTCCCCTGCTCCTCTCCCTGCTGTGGTTCCTCTCCTCCCTTCCCTGCTGTGGTTCACCTGCTCCCTTCCCTGCTTTGGTTCCTCTCCTCCCTTCCCTGCTATGGTTCCCCTGATCCTCTCCTTGCTGTGGTTCCTCTCCTCCCCTCCCTGCTGTGGCTCCCCTGTCCCCCCATTCCCTCTTACTCCAAGCTCGGAGCACCGCAATTCCACCATTCATCTCCTCTAGACGTGCACTGACGCCACCCTCCTTGTCGGATTGCGGGGTTGTGGTCTCGGCCTATACTCCTCGAACCCCGACTCATGGACGAACAAGCCAAAATTCCCCCACTTAAACCCCTTCATCCGTGGGTCGTAGACAGGGTTCACGTGGCTGAAATGATCCGTCACCGCCTGCTTCACCGCCCTGCGGATGCTTGCCACCCACCGCGTGTTCTTTCGGTGGGAGTTTGTGAGGTTCATCGTCGACTTCTTGACCTTCGACAAGCCGTAGTCAATCTGCATTGTCAAAATAGGGGAGCATGGACAGATTCAAGCGTGATAAGTGTGAGAGGTCGGAATCATGTGGGGCAAGCACAACATCCAGTGAAGTATGCCATGGTGGTAGAGTGTGAGCATGAAAGGTGATAGAGGAGTGGGGCAGCTTCTGAAAGGAAGAGGAAACCAAAGAGTGTTCAGAAACACGGGAGGGGAAGGATACTGATGGGTACTGCATGGACGTGAGGGGATTGGTGAAAAATATTAACAACGTAAGCCCGTGAGTGAAATCGTGAACCCAGAGTGGGCGCAACTCCCCTGGGCAGGTGGAAACCAAGGTTTCAAGAAGCACCTGAGAGGGAGGTGGAAACACGGGGGTTTAAGGTTTACACGGGATGGCACGGGTTTACCAAGGAGAAAAGTGTGGGATGAGAAACAAGTAAAAGGACCCTCACAAGCCACTCACCACCAAGATAGTCCAGGCAATATGATACGCCTTCAAGCATATGTCATTCCCCACGGCAAATTCACCGAAGGCGTCCATTGCTGCGTTGAAGAAGATCTCGTTGCCGAACGGGAGATCAGTAACCTCAGCATTTCCCCATGTGCTCAGCTGGGCGTCGGCACCTGCAACACAGTCGAACGAAGGTGGTTCAATGGGTGGGGTGTGAAAAGGGAAGAACGTGGATGAGCTGGCGAATCACAGGTTTCTACAACGGTCCATGTAAAGGAAACGCCAAGCTATGGAGTACAGATATGGGGTGTTGCAAGAAACGGGTGCTAGGGCTGAGATGGTGAAACAAAGTGGAGGGGGGGAGGGTGGGGGAAAAGGTCAGGCAGGTGTTTACTCACTCGGGCCATACTCCCCCCAGAGATCCTCCTTGAGCTCAGTGTCAATGTGGATTTCCGCTGCCCGCAAGCCACTCATAGGAACCCCCAACCCCTCGAACACAGTCCGTTTGACGTAAAACCCGCGCTCGTTCTTCCACTGCGTATACACGCGCTTGAATGCATCCCTCCGTGTTTTATCCGCCATGGCCTCCTTCAGCAATATCAATGGAACCACATAATGCTCAGAAATGACTTCCTGCAAAACAATAATCCGCTTCTCAAAGCTTGGGTAGAACGTGACAAGATGGTCCTCAGCTTCCATACACATGCGCTTCCTTGCTTCTTCCATGTACAGCTGTTTAAAATGAGAATGTAGGGTAAACCAAAGAATGGGAATGTGGGGTATTGGGAATGAGTATATGTCACTGCAGAGAATGAGACCAGAGGCAGGGATGAGAATGAATCACTGCAGAGAAGGAAACCAGAGAGTGGGAATGTGAATGAGTCACTGCAGGTAATGAGACCAGAGGGTGGGATGAGAATGAATCACTGCAGCGAAGGAAACCAGAGAGTGGGAATGGGAATGAGTCACTGCAGAGAATGAGACCAGAGGGTGGGATGAGAATGAATCACTGCAGAGAAGGAAACCAGAGAGTGGGAATGTGAATGAGTCACTGCAGAGAATGAGACCAGAGGGTGGGATGAGAATGAATCAGTGCAGAGAAGGAAACCAGAGAGTGGGAATGTGAATGAGTCACTGCAGAGAAGGAAACCAGAGAGTGCGAATGTGAATGAGTCACTGCAGAGAATGAGACCAGAGGGTGGGATGAGAATGAATCACTGCAGAGAAGGAAACCAGAGAGTGCGAATGTGAATGAGTCACTGCAGGTAATGAGACCAGAGGGTGGGATGAGAATGAATCACTGCAGAGAAGAAAACCAGAGAGTGCGAATGTGAATGAGTCACTGCAGAGAATGAGACCAGAGGGTGGGATGAGAATGAATCACTGCAGAGAAGGAAACCAGAGAGTGGGAATGGGAATGAGTCACTGCAGAGAATGAGACCAGAGGGTGGGATGAGAATGAATCACTGCAGAGAAGGAAACCAGAGAGTGGGAATGTGAATGAGTCACTGCAGAGAATGAGACCAGAGGGTGGGATGAGAATGAATCACTGCAGAGAAGGAAACCAGAGAGTGGGAATGTGAATGAATCACCGAAGAGAAGGAAACCAGAGAGTGGGAATGTGAATGAGTCACTGCAGAGAATGAGATCAGAGGGTGGGATGAGAATGAATCACTGCAGAGAAGGAAACCAGAGAGTGCGAATGTGAATGAGTCACTGCAGGTAATGAGACCAGAGGGTGGGATGAGAATGAATCACTGCAGCGAAGGAAACCAGAGAGTGGGAATGGGAATGAGTCACTGCAGAGAATGAGACCAGAGGGTGGGATGAGAATGAATCACTGCAGAGAAGGAAACCAGAGAGTGGGAATGTGAATGAGTCACTGCAGAGAATGAGACCAGAGGGTGGGATGAGAATGAATCACTGCAGAGAAGGAAACCAGAGAGTGGGAATGTGAATGAATCACCGCAGAGAAGGAAACCAGAGAGTGGGAATGTGAATGAGTCACTGCAGAGAATGAGATCAGAGGGTGGGATGAGAATGAATCACTGCAGAGAAGGAAACCAGAGAGTGCGAATGTGAATGAGTCACTGCAGGTAATGAGACCAGAGGGTGGGATGAGAATGAATCACTGCAGCGAAGGAAACCAGAGAGTGGGAATGTGAATGAGTCACTGCAGAGAATGAGACCAGAGGGTGGGATGAGAATGAATCACTGCAGAGAACGAAACCAGAGAGTGGGGATGTGAATGAGTCATTGCAGAGAAGGAAACCAGAGAGTGGGAATGTGAATGAGTCACTGCAGAGAATGAGACCAGAGGATGGGATGAGAATGAATCACTGCAGAGAAGGAAACCAGAGAGTGGGAATGTGAATGGGTCATTGCAGAGAAGGAAACCAGAGAGTGGGAATGTGAATGAGTAACTGCAGAGAATGAGACCAGAGGGTGGGATGAGAATGAATCACTGCAGAGAAGGAAACCAGAGAGTGCAAATGTGAATGAGTCACTGCAGAGAATGAGACCAGAGGGTGGGGATGAGAATGAATCACTGCAGAGAAGGAAACCAGAGAGTGGGAATGTGAATGAGTCACTGCAGAGAATGAGACCAGAGGGTGGGATATGAATGCGTCACTGCAGAGAAGGAAACCAGAGAGTGGGAATGTGAATGAGTCACTGCAGAGAATGAGACCAGAGGGTGGGATGAGAATGAATCACTGCAGAGAAGGAAACAAGAGAGTGGGAATGTGAATGAGTCACTGCAGAGAATGAGACCAGAGGGTGGGATGAGAATGAACCACTACTTGCTGGCCCGGCCGTCACTGGGAGCACTGAACAGTGCCCCACTCCACGGCGCCTTCCTGGCAGCCCCCACCAGAAATGGGGCCGGGGGAGGAAAGGGGCTAAGGGGGAAGGAGACGGGGTGGGGAAAAGGAGAAGGGCGGGAAGAAGAAGAGGGGAAAAGGGGAAGGAGAGCGGGGGGGGGGGAGGAGGGGAGAAGAGGAAACGGAGAGAGAGGGGGCGGCGGGAAAAAGAGTGGGCTTGGGAAAAGAAAGGGGGCGAGACAAAAGCTTGCGTTATTGTGATTTGAACAGCTCAAAAGACAAACTAGAGGAGAGGGAGGGAGGGAGGGAGGAAGGCGGGAGGGAGAAAGGAGGGAGGTAGGGAGAAAAGGAGGGAGGGGGAGAGGGAGGGAGGGGAGAGAAACCTACCCTCAGCTTCTGCAGCTTATGGAAAAAACATGCATGTGGTTACTCGAGCAAAATGCATGTGGTTGCTTCGCAGGAGTGTCAAAATTCCTGGTAAAGTGTGAAGCACGTGGTCAAGCCGGGTAAAAAAAAAATGCATGTGGTCAAAATGCATGTAACGAAGCACGAGTGTTGAGGATACAGATGGCGAATAAGAAGAAGGCTGGTTGGGATGGATTGCAGGGCATGAGTGAATGTCTGACCGGATGTAAGAAGCGAGGCCGAGCAGCATCTCCAGTGTGACCTCCTCGTAGTGCACCTTTGCTGCCATGCAGGGTCCCTGGGGGAACGGGGAGGGGCAAGGCAAGGGAAGGGGAATGCAAGGGAGGATGAAATTGGCAGTCGGGAGAAATAGAATGGGTGGAACGAGGGAGATGATGGGAGGGAGGCAAGAGCACATATGCGGCGGCTTATGGCAAAAAAGGAAGACGTTTGATTGATCTTATGCAACACAAAAAGACACATACATATGAAGAATAAGAAGGGAGGAAAGCGGGCTGAGATGGAATGGATTGGCATGTGTGACGGACCATAGGTAAGCAGCGAGGGCGAACAGCATCTCCTGCGTGAAACCCGGCTGCCATGCAGGGCAGCCTGCACTGCCCTCCTGCAGTGACTTGATTGCAAGGAGATCGGTCCGATAGGTTCGAGGCGGTACATGTAGCTGTCAAATTATAATCTTGTGTAGGCTGTAGTGGGGTAGCCTATATGGGGTACACATTTCTAGGGTTGCATATTTGTACCACATTCCATTCCTTAGTGCACTCATTCTCGTTTCAGTTTTCTCATGGTATCGAGCAGGTTCCCTCGTGGGAACTGTGCCTAGGGCCCACCAAGTCGATTTTTTTTTTTCCTGCCCGGAGCGCACTCAGCCCGAGTCGCGCTCCCCTCTCTGACTTCGTCGAGCCGCCCTAGCGGCCACGTCGAGCCGCCTTAGCGGCCCCTGATTCGTCGCCCTAGCGACCCCGTCGCCCTACCTACGGCCCCGGCCCCGTCGCCCTACCTGAGCCTCGGCCCCGTCGCCCTACCTGCGCCCCGGCCCCGTAGCCCTACTTGCGACCCCGGCCCCATCGCCCCACCTCCGACCCAGGCCCCGTCGCCCTACCTGCGCCCCGGCCCCGTCGCCCTACCTGCGTACCGGCCCCGTCGCCCTACCTTCGACCCGGCCCCGTCGCCCTACCTACGGCCCCGGCCCCGTCGCCCTACCTACGTACCGGCCCCCGTCGCCCTACCGTCGACCTCTACACCGAACAACCATGCCGACACAGTGACGGTTTCGTCGCTAGGGTTGAACGGGGGCGGGTTCTTCGGCTTTATTTTAACAGTTGTTGAGACTGTTGCTGCTGCATGCATCGGGGGCGCCATTGAAGCCATCACCGAGGATGTCGCTATTGCCTGTCGTGGCGTAGTCTGCGACTGTTGCCTCGGCTCCGCTCGTGTCTGTTGCTGCGGCTTGTGACTGTTGTTCCTGCGTCCCTTGTGCTCGTTGCATCCGTGCCGTCCACTCATCTTCAGCGTCCAGCGAGTTCTGTAGCTCGCTGAGGACCTCGTCGCTAGGTGCGAAACTGCTACTTGCTTCATCCCCGGCGGGCGACTCCTGACGCGCTTCACCTCGCGTCTGGCGTAGCTCGGCGTTTTCCGCCCTCAGGCGATCCAACTCGCCAGACATAGTCTGCATGTTGGCCTGCATCGCCCGGAACTGTAGCATGAGCTCGTTGAACTCCGCCTGGTCCATGTGTCGCAGGCTTCGTCTAACGGGCAGGGGGTTAACAACGATTTTTATGGTTTTGATGAAGGCGCAAACACTATTAGTCGGAGCGAGATAATCGTATCTATCTCTCAGCCGACCGCTTTGCAGCCTACCAAACCTATCGCACCCCTGTACTAAACTACCCCGGAAAGTGGAGGGTAACCTAGGAAAGTAGCTCTGATACCAGGTGTTATGAGTTGTATGAAAGAAGAGTGCGCAGAATGCAATATCGCGGAAGTGATTACAACTACTGAGCAAACAACGAGGCCTAGGCATAATATAGCACAGCTAGCTAAGCCGAGGTCGCGGAGTCGCGCGAAGGTTGGGTGTAGGTTTGGGGTTGGGAAACCCGAAGGCGACGCGGGAGACGTTCGGGAGGCGAGGTTGACGGACCGAGCCTGAATTCCGAAAAGTTGGAATTGAACGCGGTAAGAGGTGCCTCAGTAAGGAATTAGCGAAATTCCTTACACTCGTAGATCCTACAGAAACTAAGACGGTCGGTGAGCATGTGTGTGCCGGGCATTGCAAGTGCAGCACTCGATAAAATTGTGACAGCAGATTCAGCCTCATTCAACGATAATACGGGGCTGGCGAACTGGCATCTAGAGGGGTAACTGGTCAACGAAAGAATGCTGCTTTGGGCTTCGAAACAAGAGTCGCCCAAAATTCGTACCTTGGTTAAGGCACGTGCTGGGCTGACGTGAGAACGACACAAGTCTTGCTTGTTTGGCACTTCGGTCCGCGGAAAAAACTCGGCGAACAGTTTCTCCAAAACAGGTGGTAACTATACGAAACTCATTGGTTGTGTTCTCGAAGCCAATGCATGTGCCAAACTCGATTTGCACTCAATTCGAACTGGATTTGTTCCGAGTGCTGGGTGACGATTTGAAATCGCTTTTGACTCCTTCCTACTCCAACAAAGTTCAGCAAGTACCCAGTGTGTGGTGAGTCGTGACGCATATTAACCGTACGTTGTAAGAGAAGGTGAATCAAATCGTTCCTACGAGTCCAGTACGACTCACGGTGGCGCCGTTTCCTCGTTGCTAGTCGTATATCTTCCGCGCTGTCCTCTCGTCACTAGTATTCTTGGCCCTCGTCTCCCGCCTCCTTTTCTCGCATAATTTCGAGCCTGTCACGCGCTGCAGATCGATTTATCCCCGCGCCGCTTCTGAGTCACTTCGAAAACCGCGGAAGCACGACAGTCTGCGAAACCCTAAACAGAGGTAATCCTCCTTATCCCTTCCACCTCCGCGTTTCAAGCCGTGTGCAAGCTTAGGCTCACAGCCCACGATCAAAGTGCTCATGGCTCTGTCAACGGGGGCCAACGTGCAACTTCAGTGACATACCGACTCTCCTACGGCTTCTTCACACCGCCAAGAGACTATCAGAGCCCCTTGACGGTTCCTTGCCCCTCACAGGATTGGTATCTCGGACCCTCCGTGCTGATTTTCCACGCCCAGCACTCAACCAGGCCGACCTACGCTGTGACTGACTTACCTGTGTCTGACCTAACATGTGACTGACCTACCATGTTCCTGACCTACCCTGTAGTTGTCCTACCTTATACGGGACTTACTGTGACTAACCTAGCCTCTACTGACTGGCCCAGCCTTTTAAACCTAGCCCCGACTGACCAAGCCAGCGACGGACCTAGCCTGACCTGTGAATGCATGATCTAGCCTGTGAGTGAGCTGACCTGTGAATGCATGACCTAGCCTGTGAGTGAGCTGACCTGTGAATGCATGACCTAGCCTGTGAGTGAGCTGACCTGTGAATGCATGACCTAGCCTGTGAGTGAGCTGACCTGTGAATGCATGACCTAGCCTGTGAGTGAGCTGACCTGTGAATGCATGACCTGGCCTGTGAGTGAGCTGACCTGTGAATGCATGACCTAGCCTGTGAGTGAGATGATCTGTGAATGCATGACCTAGACTGTGAATGAGCTGGCCTGTGAGTGCATGACCTAGCCAGTAGTTGTCCTAGCCTCAGATTGCGATAGCGTATTAGTGACCCGGCCAACAGTTTTCTTGCGTGTGTGATACTTACTCCGCGTGTGCGCGTGTGCCAACAATTCCGTGACTGACCTACTCCTGACTGGCCTAAACTGTGACCACCAACGAGTGCAGCGCGATGGTCTTAGCTGTCACAATGACTTAGCAGTAGCTAGTTCAGATCCTCCAGGTCACCCCAAAACAATCCCAACCACTCTCCTTACCACCTATTACCCCTCCCAGCCACTTCAAGTCTCCCGTTCATAATACTGTGGTGCTCTATGCGTGAGCAATGGCCGAGTCAAGCCAGCCTCGTTGTTACCCGCGTCAGCTTGCTTTGTATCACTTTGGACCTGGGTTGACTTTGGCTCTATGCGTGAGAAATGGCCAAGCCAAGCATGACTCGTTCGTTTCGTTCCAAGTCAAAGTGTGTGCGTGTCCAGCATGTGGCTCAAATGTATTGCCTGAGCTGCAGAGGCTCTCGGCAAGCTGCCAGGCTCGCCACGAGCCTTGCGACAATCGAGACACCCTATCTGGACCGTTTAGCACTAGAAAAATACAGCAGCCAGAGCAACGCGCAAGCCGAGTGAAGCCAAAGACACGTGCGAGAAAATGATGAGCAAATAATCTGATATGGAAGTGTGGTGAGAGAAGCCAAAGACACGTGCAATGTTGGAGGGCTGCGAACTATTGGTTTTAGCATGCAATGGGAAAGGGGGAACATCGACTATTCAGTCAGTCGTTTCTGCAACAATAAAAACCTAGGTGACCTACGTCATTTCTTGTGCAGTGGTCAGCGTGGATGTGATGTGAGAGACTCGATTTTGGCATGGGTTGTGGGCTTCACTTTTTTTGTGACGCCCTTTCCCGCCTCCACATTTTACAGTCCCACCTCCTCGCTTCCCCTTCCCGCCTCCCAATACACTTTTCAAAAATCCCCTTTTGTCCTTGCCGAAGCCCCACTTCCCTACCCGCCTCCCCATTTCAACGTCCCGACCCCCTTCCCCACTCTCCTTGCCTTCCCATCTCCGCGCTTGTCTTCCCCTCTCCCCTCCCTTCTTTCCCATCTCCTTGCCTGCCTTACCCTCTCCAAAAGCAATCAGCAACTTTCATTCATGCCCCTGTTTCTCAATCCGTTTCTTCTTTTCCTGTGTGTATTTTGTCAAAATTGTCCACATGAGCAGAATAATGGAGCAGCGGAATGCAAACCAGCAACGCGCGGAGACAATCGTTAAGGAGGACCCTTTGGCTCTGGAGATCTCCTACCTGGGCACCAGGGCCAAATATCTAGAAGGCTGGTTTTCCTACATGCGCTTGTCGGACGTGAAAGAGTTGGTCGCCCTTCTGATTGTTGCGCATGCCTCTGGACCAAGGCAGATTCCCCTTGGAGTGGGAGGAGTGGCCTCGGGGCGAGGACACTGTTGTGAAGCTTCCTGACGACCCCAGTGCGAGATTCTTCCGCCTTGGAATTGTGGAGGAAGCAAGGGGAACAGCAGGGGAGCGTGGGGCAGGAAAGAAGGGCGGACAAAGGTCATCTGTGACTGTGAGGGGGCAAGGAGGAGACAAAGGGAGGGGCAAGCGGGGGGAAAGGAGCAGTGGGCGTGGGGAAGAAGTTAGAGTTGAAGGATTGAGGACGAGTGACGATGAGGGGCTGCTACGCAAGCTGCTCACATCGCTGCTGCCGCTAGTGCAGAGGAAATTCCCCATCGTTCGCTGCACTGCCGATGCCGAATTTCTGGTGGAGTTTGCCGGGTTTCTGGTCAGGCCACCTGCCTGTGCGCAGTGCAATGAGTGCCTTGGGGTCTACAGCCGTCCCATCCCCTTCCTCATGCTCATCACTAACTATGCCTACCGACCTGTCACCACCCTTTTCAACCGCTTTGTATCCATCTTCTCTCCCCTCCCTCCCGAATTCGAATGACTCGCTGCTTGTATGGGTGTGCCTCTCGCTGCCAATGCGCCTGGCTATCTAAGATCGCCTGCGGTGCAGGCTCGAACGGAACAGCTTCCTGTTCTCTTCCTGCTGACTGTGGCTCTAAACTGGGCTGCCCCCGTCCTCGGAATCACGGACCTGAAGTTCCTACACAGGCTGCGAGACGGAAAGGAAGATGATGGGAGGGTGTGGGAAGAGGTGCAAATGTGGTGCCTAGCGGTGGAGCTTGCATGGCAGGGCGGCATGAAGCTGGAGGCTGAGGTATGAGAGACAGGTGCAAGGGCAGCAAGGGGCGAACCAGTTGGGATGGAAAGGAGGGAGAGGTGTTTGCGAGTGCTAAGGGGCATGAGTTGTGGAGAAGGGCTGCCATACCCAGGTTCTGTGAAGACATGCAGGATGATTATGGGCCTTCCGATGGTGCCAGTGGGAGCAGCAGCCGCAGCGACAGCTCTGGGAGAAACAGGAGAAACCAAGGGAGAATAGAAGATGATGGGACGGGCAAGGAGGGGGAGGAGGCGGCTTATTTGAAAGCGTGGCCCGGGGGAGTGAATTTGGTGGCTTGTCTGCGAGAGATGCTGCTGGGGGAGCCGTGCTACTGCCCTGTCTCCCCTGCTGCCCCTTCCACCTCTGCTGCCCCTACCACCCCTGCTGCCCCTTCCACCCCTGCTTCCTCGTCCACCCCCTGCTGCCCCACCGATCAGTGTTGTGCCAAACCATGCCAAACCTGCACCCGCTTTGGGTACAGAATACACTGGTACTGCTGTTGGTGGGGAGCGTAAGGTCGCAAGTGGAGGCGAACTGAATGCTATCGAGGGTGAGGGACTCCAGTGGAGGACAGAACACTTCTACAGGCGTCGCGGGTGTTCTCCCCTTTAAGGGTGTGCCACACAGCTGCTCGTCTTTCCCAGAGCCTCCTTCAATCTCAGGCTCTACCAGCTGCTGTGATTCCCTTCCCGCTAGTCCCGCGTCCTCTAACGAGCCTGCTCCAGCTGTAGCTACCCCAGCTCCTACTGCCGCCCCTTCTGCCGCTGCCCCAGCTTCTGCTGCTGTGGTCACTGCTCGAGGCACTGCTGTTGCTCCAGGCAGCGCCGCTGCCCCATTCAGTGATAGAGGAGCGCCAGGTGGAGCCCCACGAGCGACAGCCTCCATGCGAGCCACCAGCTGCTGCGTGAGCGCCTGCAGCAGCCCCCGCGCCTCTCTCCGCGACACCGCCACAAACTCTGAGACCGATGGCTGACTGACTGACCCATGGCTGACTGACTGACCCATGACAGACTTACCAATGGCTGACTGACTGACCCGTGGCTGACTGACTGACCCATGACAGACTTACCAATGGCTGACTGGCTGACCCATGGCTGACTGACTGATCCATGACTGACTGACCGATGGCTGACGACTGACTGACCCATGGTTGACTGACTGACTTATGACTAACTGACTGACCTGTGGCTGAATGACTGACCCATGGCTGACTGACTGATCCATGACTGACGGATCTATGGCTGACTGACTGACCCATGACTTACCAATGGCTGACTGACTGACCCATGGCTGATTGACTGACCGATGGCTGACATACTGACCCATGTCTGGCTGATTTTCTGGCTGACTGACTGACCGAATGCTGACTGACTGACCTATGGCTGACGCTGACTGACTGACCCATAGCTGACTGACTGAACCATGGCTGACTGACTGACCCATGGCTGACGCTGATTGACTAACCAGTGGTTGATTGAATGAACCATGGCTGATTGACTAACTTATGACTGACTGATCTATGGCTGACTGTTTGACCCATGGCTGACTGACTGAACCATGGCTGCTGATTGACTGACACATGACAAACCGACCGATGCCTCACGGATTGACCCATGACTGCCTGACCCATGGCTGACTGACTGACCCATGGCTGATTGAATGATCGATGCCTGGCTGATTGACCTATGGCTGACTGACTGACTCATGGCTGACTGACTGACCCATATATGATTGACTGACGCATGTCTGACTGACTGAACCCATGGCCACCTGACTATGGCTGACTCCTGACTGACCCATGACTTATCAATGGCTGACTGACTGACTGACTGACTTATGGCTGATTGACTGACTCATTGCTGATTGACTGACCCATGGCTGACTAACTGACCGAATGTCCGCCATGATCCTTATAAAAAACAAAAGGCCAGGCTGCTGCATTGATGGTCGAATTCACAAGCCAGCTGCGCTGAAAACGTACTTGACAAGCCAAGTTGATGAAACAGCCCCCTTGCAGCAGCCAGCCGCAGAAAAAAGGTTCTGGTCAGCCAGCCCGCCCTGCCAGCCAGCCACCTTGCAGCAGTCAGCCACAGACGAATGGTTGTGGTCAGGTTGGGAGAGTCATACAGTGAGATGGGTGGGTAGGTACGGTTTCAGCAAGTGGGGTGAGAGCACAGGCATGGCTTCAACAAGGGTAGCTCACGGCAAGAAGGGGTGAGAGCACAGGCATGGCTTCAACAAGGGCAGCTCACGGCAAGAAGGGGTGAGAGCACAGGCATGGCTTCAACAAGGGCAGCTCACGGCAAGAAGGGGTGAGAGCACGGGCATGGCTTCAACAAGGGCAGCTCACGGCAAGAAGGGGTGAGAGCACAGGCATGGCTTCAACAAGGTCAGCTCACGGCAAGAAGGGGTGAGAGCACAGGCATGGCTTCAACAAGGGCAGCTCACGGCAAGAAGGGTGAGAGCACGGGCATGGCTTCAACAAGGGCAGCTCACGGCAAGAAGGGGTGAGAGCACAGGCATGGCTTCAACAAGGTCAGCTCACGGCAAGAAGGGGTGAGAGCACAGGCATGGCTTCAACAAGGGCAGCTCACGGCAAGAAGGGGTGAGAGCACAGGCATGGCTTCAACAAGGGCAGCTCACGGCAAGAAGGGGTGAGAGCACAGGCATGGCTTAAACAAGGGCAGCTCACGGCAAGAAGGGGTGAGAGCACAGGCATGGCTTAGACAAGGGCAGCTCACGGCAAGAAGGGGTGAGAGCACAGGCATGGCTTCAACAAGGGCAGCTCACGGCAAGAAGGGGTGAGAGCACAGGCATGGCTTCAACAAGGGCAGCTCACGGCAAGAAGGGGTGAGAGCACAGGCATGGCTTCAACAAGGGCAGCTCACGGCAAGAAGGGGTGAGAGCACAGGCATGGCTTCAACAAGGGCAGCTCACGGACGTGTTTTAAGCCCTCCTTCAAGGCGTCTTTCAGTATGCAAGGCCGAGCAGGCGGTTCAGCTTGATGGCTCTTCTCGTCAAGTGGGGTTTAAGCGCAGCCACTCCTTCCAGCATCGGGCTTCGTCTCAGAGTGGATAAGTCCGGCGTTTTGTTTTGGACAGGATCCTGTCAACAAGGCGGTTGCAGTCATCAGGTTGTGGTCAGTCATCCCATGGGGTCGGTCGGTCAGCCATGGGTCAATCAGCCTTGGGTCAGTCAATCAGCCATGGGTCAGTCAATCAGCCATGGGTCAGTCAATCAGCCATGGGTCAGTCAATCAGCCATGGGTCAGTCAATCAGCCATGGGTCAGTCAATCAGCCTGGGTCAGTCAATCAGCCTTGGGTCAGTCAATTAGCCTTGGGTCAGTCAATCAGCCATGGGTCAGTCAATCAGCCAGGGGCAGTCAGTCAGCCACAGGTCGGTCAGTCAGCAATGGGTCAGTGAGTCAACCATGGGTCAGTCAGTCAGTCACGGTTCAGTCAGTTAGCGATGGGTCAGTCAATCAGCCATGGGTCAGTCAGTCAGCCATGGGTCAGTCAGTCAGCCATGGGTCAGTCAGTTAGCCATGGGTCAGTCAGTTTTGCCATGGGTTGGTCAGTCAGCCATGGGTGGATGAGTCAGCCATGGGGTTCATGAAGTATCTGCTCAGCGCACTGCTCATCATCGTCTTAACAAGTCATATCACACTTCCCAACCCCGATTCATCCCTCCCATACGGCTCTTGCCCTACAGCATCTGACATATCATTGCAAATGATAGCGCCATGAAGGGATCAAATCAAACCCTTTCTTGCCCACGTGTTACAGATGATAACCCACTGAAAAGAAGTGGATACTGCCTGGAGGGAGGATGTGATGCTTTGCATGTTAGATATGTGGGATGGAGAAAGAGTTGCTATATCATGTAGTGTAGTTCATTACGAGTAGAACGCTTGTTGCTGCCACAAAAATGGCTTATGATTTCCATTTAAAAAACCCATATTCGTTATGAATAGAGCTATTCTAGTGGCAAATATTATGTATGCAACATTCAAAATATGTTATAAGCACAAAATATGTACCCATGCACAAGCCAAGCTGTAGCTCCCACTTTTTATGTACGAAGGCCAATTTTCTCGTTCCATTTACCTGATCACCAAATATTCTACCAGCATCCATTCCATTTATCTGTTCAACAGGCCATATTTCCCCATATACCGTATGTTTTGGTATGGCACAAACCAGAAGCTCTGGGTAATCTAGCAAGGTGCACGTGAAGACAAACTTGATTATGTGGAAAAGCCACTTGGCATGACCCCTCGCTCTGCACGGGCCATTTCAGCAGTGAAGCTGGAGGAGCCAATGGAACTCCCAAGCTCCGTGTCCATGCGAGATTTGGCCTCGCCCACATGGCTCTCATGTGCTCCAGAAGCTTCCTGATTCAACTTCACCAGCTCCCCCAGCACTTGATTCATGGAGGGGCGGGAGGCCGCAGGCATGGTGGTGCAGGAGAGGGCAAGGCGAGCCCAGCGCAGCACCAAGTCATCTGGTGCGTCCAAGTAGGGGTCCTTGAAGACTGTAACGGCATCTGACTCCACGAATGGTGTGATCTGTTGGGTTGAGCCATGTGGACATATGCGTGATTGTTCAGTGAACTACATACTTATGAGTGCAGTTTTTTGCATAAAATATTCAGACAGTAAGTCTGTAGCAAGCATCTGTGCTCACCCCATTGCTTCAGACTGATCTGGCTGGTCTCGCTCATATGCACGGCCTTGCGTGCCGAGATGACCACCAGCATCACCACACCAAAGCTGTTAAGACCAATCAGAAAGAGGGACAGGAGAATGGAGATTAATGTAAGACATTTCAGAGGAGCATTTCTATGCCCTACCCACATCACAAATGGAAGAAAAATACATTTCTATGCTCACACCTGCTGCTGGAGTGTTCCAATCACTCAAGTGGTAGCCACAGTTGGTTTCTTACTCAACTCGAAAGAAATATCTTCACCCGCTCACCTGTACACATCTGCTGCTGAAGTGGCCTTGTGGGGACTTGTAATAGGCAGGGTCCACATAGCCCGGAGTCCCCATTACTCGAGTTGGCAGCCACAGACGTGCCCATAGCGGTGCCTCCAGTGAGCTTTACCAAACCAAAGTCTGCAATCTTGGCCTGAACAACAGTTTGTACGCAAAATTAAGATAGTCAATTGCACAAGTGCTTTCAATATGTCAAGACATGCTAGTAAAAGAAAAAACAAAATGTTAGGTTGGTGACTTGTCAAACAAAATGCAAGGAGAAAACATAGTTAGACGTACATGCATTTTTGCATCAAGCAGAATGTTGGCTGGCTTGATGTCGCGATGCACAATGCCGAAGTCATGAAGATATTGCAACCCCTTGGCCACTCCAATCAGAACATCCAGTCGTTGCAACAGAGAGAGATGACTTGGAGCTCCTAGGAAGGGGTAATGGAAGAATTGGTTCCAATGGGAATGCTATTGAATTGCTTGTCCCTAAGGAATGGACATTGTGATCTGAAGAAAGGGTTTGGAAGGCATGATACAAGGTATGCGGCACGGCAAGTGCAGGGCACATGGGCCACTCACGTCACACTCAGAAACTACTCCAAGATAATGGCTATCAAAGAGTAAAATAAGACATCCATCATAGACAAGTGAAGTTTTATTACCTGGTTCAATCCAGCTCTCCAATTCCCGGTTGGCCATGAACTCATACACGAGCACTTGCTCAATCTGGCCCGTGCTGGAATCATAGTGCACACAGAAGCCCAACAGCCGCACCAGGTTGGGGTGGTGCTTACTGGCCATCTCCTTCACCTGCAAGATGGGAGAGGAAAAACAAAAAGGGAGTAGGCAAGAGGAAGAGAGTGAAGTGAATGTGTTTATAATGGTGTATGCATGCATGTACAAGAATGGTACTGTAATGATGTCTGAATAAACTCAACAGCAAAATCCAAGTGCCAAATACATCACATGCGATATTGGGGAAAGTCGAAAAGGAAGAGGGCAAGAGGGAAAGTGTGTGTCTGTGTTTGACAAAGTGTGTGTGAGTATGTGTATGTGTGCATCTTGCTGGGTGTGCGCACATGTGTGCATGTGTGTGTGTGTGTGTGCGGGCGCGTAAACGCGCCCTGAATGTGCATTTGAGTTTGGATGAATGTGTGTGTGTCCCTGTTTGTGTGTTTGTTGGCATACAAAGAATGTCCAATAACAGCATTGCAACGTGTTCAGGGTATGAGGCCAGAAGACTCATCAGCACCATCTTGTACCTCAGTAAGGAAGTCACTGGATAGGACCCTGGATCGCTTCACAGCCCACATTTCAGTGGGTTCATGCACTGACACGCCCTTGTACACATCTCCAAAGCTGCCGCTTCAATCCTGTTTCCCTCTGCCCAGTCTCCCGTTGCGCTTGCGAGTTCTTCCAGAGTGAACTTCTGGCACACATGTGGCTTCACTGCCTCCCTCTCCACCACCACGTCTCTCTCCATCACCCATTCCGCTGCTCCTGCAGCCACAGCCGCAGCTGCTGCAGCAGCTGCTTCTCCTTCTGGGTCCTATTCCCTGCCTTGGATGCTGCGTTGGAATGATCAGGTTCCAAGTCTGTCAGAGGTGGTGAAGGAGACAAGATGAAGATGAGGAATTAAACGTCGTGGACAGGAACTTAGGGTTTGGGAGGAGGCTGTATTTCGAACAGCGTAGACTCAAAAGGTCCTACCTTGGAGTGCACTTTCTTCAGCCAAATCTTTGCCGTCCACATCTCTGCCTCCTGTTTGCCCCTCTGGAGTGGTAACGTTTGCACATCAGCCAGATAAGCAGCAGCAGCACTAGGAAAGCCACAGCGCCAGCAGCAGCAATGCCAGCAACGGCTCCGTTGGATAAACCGCCTTCAGACTGGGTAGCAGATGCTGCAGGCTTACTAGGAGTTGGCGAGGAGGAGGTGGGGAGGCTGTGGGCATTGGCGATGGGGAGGGTGTTAGCACTGGTGATGGGAGGTACATTTAAGGAGTAGGAAGATGGATATAGTGAATGGAAAAGGCTATCACACGTGGGAATAATGGTGGGATTGATGAACAGGGATGTGGGAGAGAAAGCGAACAAAGACTCTGAAAGGTTGAAAAAAAAAAAAAAACCAGCAAAAGCCACGAGTTATTCTTTGGTATTCTTCACTATAAATTGTGGATGCGTGACACTGCAGAAGTTTGTTCTGTAGATGGCAGTATAGTGTTCATGCACTCAGCACGAATGAGAGCGTTGTCAGAAAGGCAATATTACTTGCAGCGACCCGCATAAAGAGATTGCATTTCACCTGGTTGTGGCTTGTCACAGGTGGTGCAGAAGGAGCTACACTGCTGGCAGAGAGCACTTGAAATGTTCTGTTTGACCACACAGCTGCTGTAGTCAGGAGGGCATGCGATTGCAGTCGAAGTTGTGTTCCTGCATGTGCACATGGGGTGTTCTCAAACTATAAACCAGAAACCGGTTTCAGCTCTGAATAAAACTCTCTGAGATTTCTATTGGAAAGGTCTGGTGAGACATTACAATGCTATACTTTTCCAAGATGTTTTATAGGTCAAAAACCCAGTAAACCATATATTGGTTTCCATGCATGTTAGGAATAGGAAATGGCTTAACGTGGTCTGGACCCAACATCAGTTGTCGTGCCGAAATGGGCAATAGTTGTCGTGCCGAAACGGATTGAGCCGGGATAATCATCTTCGGCCTTTGGTACCTTGTATACCTCCTACTTATGGCTGCAACAGTACTAGCTCGAATACACGACAAAAACACATTGGCTCCCTGTATACCTCCTCCTCATGAGTCATGATACACTTTTAAGGAGAAATAATGGACATTGCAACAATTTAATCTGCATGCCTTTACAGGAATAAAAGCGAGTAGATTGCCCATTGTTGGAGGGAGTTGGCCATTGAGATTGTTCCAACTTACATCACTGCAATGGAAATGTCAGATGATGGTTGGTTACTTCCCAGTCAAAGCATTGCCTGATAAGATTGATGATGAATACATGCCAAAGGCTTCACCGAAGAATGAAACCCAAGGCGGTAGAAGGTAGGCAAAAAATGGGGAGGGAGATAAGAAAGGCATGATATGTTGACATAGGAGTGTGGCCGGAAACATCATGCTTTGAGGCAATCTCAGGTTACCATGGGTAGAATATGAGTTCAGCAAAGGGCTTGGTGGGGTCAACCGACCTGACCGAACGCATGTTTTTGCAAGGGATGGGTCCACCCAAGGAGTCCCCTAACCAAGATCGGAGACTTGACCCCGAGAACCGAATTGGCCATTGTTTCCCCAGGATGGTTAACTTATCAAACTTCCTTGATACTGACAGGCGCGTAAGGCTGCTCATGCTGCCGGTGGTGGATGGAATAGCACCCATTTAGTTACTACTTGAGATCGAATTGTGCGATGACTCCTTGAGGGTGCGTAACTACCAAAAAAACTGTAGACAAGTAGGAATTGATTGCTTAGGATAAGAAGGCGAGATTATGGCTACAACAGATATTCCAAGATGGAATACCCACTTTCACATTGGGGATTCAGAGGCAGATTCATAGCTATGGAAGGGAATATGTGCGCTCAAAAGTGATTCTAAGGCTGGTTGGATAAGTGTGTGTGCTCACAATTTTACTGGTGCAGATCTTGCTCAGCTGGCAATTGAGTTCGGCATTCGAACAGATTGAGTTGGCAGCTCAGGTCTGGCAGGAGGAAACTAATTGACTGGAAAAGGCGACCCGCAAGCTCACGATGAACTTAGGGTTGACCAATTTTGAGGGGCCGTAGAGAAATACTTGGATCCAAAACGTGATTTGGGTAGTGATGGAACTAATAGACGCTATACTTGGTGGGACTGCGTTTTGCTCATCACTGCTAGCTTGATTTCAGAGGTTCTCACTTTCATCATCCTCACATATATGGAAGATCCAGATCCACCCTCGCTCATGTACATTGTTGCCTGATTGTTGCAGGACCGCATTTCAAGGCTAATGAGGAGATATCGGCCGCGGAAGAACCTGGTACCCACGAGGTTACCAATGTGAGTGGTGTCGAGAGGTAAGCAAAAGTTTAGCAGCAAAAAGGAGGAGTTGCACTAGCAAGCAGTTGAGTACATATAGGAAACCCTAAATTGGGCTGTACTCGCTATAGAGTGCCCCACTGCAGGCTAGACAAATACAGCATTCTGACACACCCCCATAACCAAAGTGGGGTGTAATCAGTACAACAAGCATGCACAGCAATTGTTCACAATGATAAACAAAGCTAGTGGCTACCCATAGAGGGCAAGTGAGGAGGAGGAGAGACTGTGTGGGGGCGAGAAGATGGGAGGCGACTGCTGAAGCTGCAGATCACAGGAGCTGCGGCTCAGTGGCTACCGAAGCAAAGGCCCGGACTACAGGAGTAACTGGCTCCGCGGAGATTGTAGCCTCCTGACTGGAGCAACCGACCCGCAGGCGACTGGCGACTACCGGAGATTGTAGCCTCCGAACTACTGGTGCTGCTGGCGACACGACTGCGACCTCCGTTCAACCTCCGCCAACTGCCCAAAGCCCCTATCACACACCCCCTACTGCACCCCTAGCTCCACTCCCACGACACCCCACTTAAACCCTAAACCCTCAGCTCCCCACACCCACCCCCCTCAGCGCAGCATGCAGCTGCAGACGAGACAGGAGCAGGAGGAGAGCTGCAGGTTACCCACACCGGTCACCCC